GTGCAGCTGGAAGCCCTTCCCTCCTGCTCTGTCACTAATCACCTCTGACAAGACACAAACCAACCCTTCAGGAGCCGCAGGGACTGACGAGACTAACGGAGGGCGGGGCTTCACGCTGACTGACAAGCGGAGCGACCAATAGGATCAAAGGAGCGACCAATAGGATCAATAGAGTGACCAATAGGAGAGGCGGCCGAGGGCAAGGGGGGATGGGGTAAAACTGGGAGAGGGAGATTGAGGTGAGACATGAGGAGGAAATTCTTTGCTGTGAGGGTGGTGAGAGCCTGGCCCAGGTTGCCCGGGAAGGCGGTGTCTGCCCCATCCCTGGCAGTGTTGAAGGGCAGGTTGGATGGGGCTTGGAGCAGCCTGGGCTGGTGGGAGGTGTCCCTGCCCATGCAGGGGGTTGGAACCTGATGTCCTTGAAGGTCCCTTCCCACCCAAACCAGTCTGTGCTTCTATGATTCTATGTTCCAGGTGTTAGTTCTCTTGCCAGAAAGAGAAATAGAGGGAGAAAGAAAGAGAGAAGGAGAGGTCAGAGGAGGCCACAGAAATGATCCCAGGGCTGGAGGAGCTCTGCTCTGGAGCCAGGCTGGGAGAGGTGGGGTGTTCAGCCTGGAGAAGAGAAGGCTCCAGGGAGACCTGAGAGCAGCTTCCAGTGCCTGAAGGGGCTCCAGGAAAGCTGGGGAGGGGCTTGGGACAAGGACTTGTAGTGACAGGACAAGGGTTGATGGTTTTCAACTGGGAGAGGAAGATTGAGGTGAGACATGAGGAGGAAATTCCTTACTGTGAGGGTGGTGAGAGCCTGGCCCAGGTTGCCCAGGGAAGCTGTGGCTGCCCCCTTCCTGGCAGTGTTGGAGGGCAGGTTGGATGGGGCTTGGAGCAGCCTGGGAGGTGTCCCTGCCCACGCAGGGGGACCAGGCACCTCCTTCCACCCCTCACCCCTCAAGTATGTATTGCAAGACATTTCTGGTGTTTGAAATACGTGCAGCACGAGCTGAATGGAATCATCTGACTTCATGGAATCTGCCAGGATGTACAAGTGAGGAACATGAAACGATAAATGAATAAAATCCTACATGAACTGGTAGAAAAGTTTATTAATGGAGGGCACACCATTGTAACCTGAAACAGCAAGTGAAGTAAACATTGTATGTAAACATGCAGCTTGGTATTTGAACATTTTTGAAAACTATTTGTATTGAGCTTTATATTAGTGAATAACAATTTGGTGGTTTAAGACATTTTATAAATAAACAAGAAAACCAGAGATTTTTCTGGCTTATACAAGTGAAGTGTATATACATGGGATTCATTCCAATTAGAAACTCATTTATCTTACATTATGGGCCATTTTTAAGATGCTAAAGGGCAAGTAAAGTGTGTGAGACAAGCAACAAACACCATTAAAAGGCAGCAGTGGAACTGCCAGCTCTGGGTTGTGCTTTATTTGTTCAGATAGAAGCTGCTGCTGCAAATGGTGAGCAAGCAGCTTTCTCACAAACCACACTGCAAAGAGAGGATGTGAATTGAAGGCTGGGGCAAATCCTAGTGCAGCTTAGGGGTGAGAATGTGTCTTGTGTAGCTCAAAATCCAGGGGGTGCAAAACATCAGCAGGTGAAGCTTGAAAGGCCGTACCTGCTGGATCTACCAGGCAAATGGAGATGGTAAAAAGGAAGAGTTTCAACGTTCAACCTACACCGCCCTCTGGCAACACCAATATTAAATGACACAGTTCCCTTGCTGTGAGCAGCATAAAGCTAATTAATTACACGTCAAAATCAAGGCACTGAGAGTGTCAGACAAGCTCTGCAGGCAGGGGGTGAGGCTGAGCTGCCCTGTCCCCTTGCCTTGGGGCAAGAGTGAGACAGCAGGTTCATTAGCAAGGGTACTCTGTGCTCCCCTAAAACTCCCAAGAAGTCTTGTGTAGGTGTATCCTAAGTAATTAAAACCCACTAATTGCAACAGGTGAGAGATCCAACCCAGCAGACTGGGTTACACTCATTGTTGAAGTCTGTACTTGCAAAATAAAGCAGTATTTTCATGTGGAAACTCCACTTCTTTCCACTGATGGGACCACTTCAAACCCTGAACAAATCATGCAGACAAGTCAGTCGTGTGAGAAAGCTTTCTAAAACAACTTTATTGGAATGATACAGGAATGGTTAATATACAGGTTAAATCCTCAATGCCTGCTTTCTACATAGGGAAAAAAACCAGGAAGAAATGAACAAACGTGGTTCTTGTGCCCGACATGAAACCCAACCACAGGTATCAGAAATAGAAAAGATCAGAAATAGAAAAATAGCACACAGGCAACACATCCCTAGCACCCCTAAATCCATGCAAGATTATCTGCATCACAAGGAATGCAAGTTTTCCACCCAGTCCCACAACCAGGAGATATTTTCAGTCTGTGTTGGTGCCTTGTTCCCCAGACAAAGAAATAATTCAGTGTGTCTCACCAGAGCTCTCTTAGGAATGCTGACACAGTTTGAACACTACCATATGGGAAGGCCAGGGGAGCAGACAAGGGGAGTAATTTTGCTTTCTTAAACATGGCAATTTTTTGTGACTGCCCAAACCAAGGATTGACCTGGTTCCCGAATGTTTTGGGGTCGCTGAACTGACAGGATTTGGCAGCGACTTTCAATTCCAGCCTCACCAAAATAATGACTGTGATTCAGAAAACTTACCCCAGCCTTTCCCTGCAGAGGAAACACAGCAAATTGGGGTGAGTATTGTAACTTTTGTGTCCAATCCCACTTTTCTTCACAAGACTTCACTGAGTATCCTTCAATACTTTCTCAAACAGTTTAGACAGAACGATGATGCCAACGTTAAGAAAGAAAAATCACCTTGGTTCAGAAAGAGGAAATCCTAGTGAACAACAAAAATCACACTGGCTTTGAAATGTAACCTGGCTTCCATCCCCAGAAGGTCATACACTTCACCAAAGTTCAGTGATTACTGATAAAGCTTGTTAATGAAAAAGCACAAGTGTGTTAATGTTGAAGATAAGGCAACATTCACCTACCCCTACCCCTTCTGACACTGCGCTTGCTTTGGAAGGACGAGCTCCAAACTCACTCCCAGGCTCCCAGATCAGGAAAGCTAAACCATGGATGAAAGGTCATCTGAACTAACTTGGCCCCGTGCTAGATGCTGCTCACTTAGATCTCTGGGGAAGTTTCCCCATGAGCTCTCCAGAAGCAGGTAGCTGAGCTCCTCTTTTAGCAGGTGTTGACAACATTGTGGGTTGCAGTGATCTTTGGAGCAAAAGCCCCTAAGAAAAGAGTGTATATTAGGAAGAATTGGATATTAGGAATAATTTCTATACTGAAAGAGTGGTCAGGGACTGGAGCAGCTGCCCAGGGAGGTGGTAGAGTCACCATCCCTGGAGATGTTCAAGAAATGTGTAGATGTGGCACTTCAGGACGTGCTCTAGTGGCTGAGGTTGGGGGGGGTTTGGTGGGTGTTTTTTGGTGGGGTGTGTGTGTGGTTGTTTCTGTTTGTTTGGGGTTTTTTGGTTGTTTGTTTCGTGCTGATGTTTGGACTCTGTGACCTCAGAGGTCCTTTCCAACCATGACAATTCTGTGAAACAATGGTGAGGGAAAAGTATTGAATGACCACGCTTTACAACACCTTTGTAAATGTAACTTTTATCCTGTTCCTAATTCCAGACTTCCAAACCAGGAACTGTAAACCACTTCAGGAGGTATTTAAAAAGCTCTGCACATGCTTTAGAGCATCAGAGTAACCACAACCCTGTGCTGACCTGTCCCTCTGTCTCCATAAAGCAAAGAGACTCAAAATGTGTGCAGAGCTCTTACAGAATGAACCTGTAATGAATGCAAGGACTAATTATCTTACTGCCTTTGGCTGCTTTTGGGGAATACCTACATTAAGTGGTGAATAATTACCCCCACACTTTTAAAACCTCTTTCTTATGCTTCAGGGCACTTGGAATTATTTGTATTTTTGCAGAATATGGCCCAGAAATACAGACTCTCTCATGAGCACTGGGAGAACAGACAGGCTGATATTGCATGTGGTGAATTCACCAACATGAGACACTTGAACAGAGTTGCAATTCCTGGACTAGCTGGATGATATGGCAATAACAATGGAAAAAAGGGTTTGAAACTTTAAAAAGTCTTGCTTAATTACAACAGTTCTTGCTATTCAAACATTTATTTCCTCCTTTGAAAAAATACTGTCTGAATCTAATGACTACTTGGACATGCAAGAAGCTGCCTAATGCTCTAAGCAGTGTGAACTGGTATTTTTTGTAGAGAAATACATTAAAGGCTTTCACCCTTACACAGGTAAGGAAAATGCCATTTCTGGCTGTTTTGGCTTCTTTGCAACACTCCCAGGGGATTGGGGCAGACTCCAGGGAGGTGCCCTGAGCTTTGCACTCAGGCAGCTCTGTGATGGACCTGCCAGTGGAAAGGCTGGTCACTCCCCACAGCCCTTTTCCTCTGTCAAAAGAGCCCACAGGGATCACTTAAATGAAAAATACATGGCTTTTTTTTTTTTCCTTCTTGGTTTTTCTGTGACCATCTGTGCAGTGTGTTACAATACAAATCTTAAATATCTACTCTACAAAAGAACAAAGGTAACTTTCAGAAGTGACTACAATGGCTGTACTACATGATCCCACCTACAAGTTCATCTGAAACCAGAAAAGACACTGAAAAATGACTGTGTAACTCAGTAACATTTTGGAGGCAACTCAGGCACTAGAGTGAGTATCTGACAAGGTTTTTAGATGCTGTTGTTTGTTTCCCATGTTTTAAATAGTTGGATCTGTAGGTATAACCCCATGTGTATTATTAGTACTAAAACAGTTTCTTAACTTTACCCAAAATGGATGAATTGCCAAGATAGTTGAGTTGAAACTCATTCCTGTCTGCCTCAGTTTCCTATGCTTCCAACTTGGAAATAAAACCCCTCTGTGCTCTCAATGCTCACATTTTCATCTTGTGTTCAGGTTTGCATTACGTAGGGTGAATGCTGCAAGCACCAATCAACTGTCAGAAATCACATCTACATTTCTTGAAGCAGAGACAACTGTACTGGTTTATAAAAAGCTGTGGAAATTCCCTTTACAGAACATTTAAGGCAGTTGAAATTCACGCTTGCTGCTTGGCCAGGGCTTCAGCTTCCTGAAACAGAAGAGAATGACACGTGTTAGTACTTTGATGAAGGGAGTCAACTTACACAGCCCTGTCCCAAGCACCAACACAACAAAAATTGCAGCAATAGAGAGTCAAGAATTAAGCAGCTCTGAACCCAGCTCAAGAAAGAGTCCCCCCTGCCTACAATGACACTAGAAACCAAGTCCCACCCAGTGCTGTTTTGAACTCCCAGCTCTGCTCTAGCTCAAGAAGGACATGCAGGAATATTTCAACCTGTGCCCATGGTCAGTTTTGACCATCAAAGCTTAAAACACAAGATGAAATATAACGAGTTATCCCTTACTTCATGGTAGGACACAGGAATTATTTTGAGCTCAAAGATTATTGGAACAGCTAATGGTTAAAGGGAAGGAGTTCTTAGTAAAAGTCTCCACATCCAAAAAAAAGGGGAGGAGGGGGAAATAAAGAGAGGTCTCAGCAGAGATGCAATTTCCTTTCTGAACTAAATCCAACCAAACGACCAAAAGCCAGAGCTCAGCTTCTGCCTTCCAGAAGGGAGATGGGAGCAGCCTGGGAGTCCTTAGCCAGCCACAGCTTGGAGCTGCTCCAGAAGACCTGACGTGAGCTGGGGCTGGGGCTGGCAGCAGGGCTGGCAGCAGGGCTGGGCTGCCAGGCTGACTGCTGAGTAATCCCAGCTCCCTGCTGCAGGGGAAGCCAGCCAGAGGGACCCAGCTGCTCCTGCCTGCCACCTGCTCCCCATGGCCAGGGCCAGTGTCCTTGGGCTACATGAAAGCATTCCTAGAAGTCCAGAGGCCACAAAGATGCTGAGAGAGCTGGAGCAGCTCTGCTCTGGAGCCAGGCTGGGAGAGTTGGGGTGTGCAGCCTGGAGAAGAGAAGGCTCCAGGGAGACCTGAGAGCACCTTCCAGTGCCTGAAGGGGCTCCAGGAAAGCTGGGGAGGGACTTGGGACAAGGGCAGGGAGGGAGAGGACAAGGGGGAATGGATTAAAACTGGAAGAGGGAGATTGAGGTGAGACATGAGGAGGAAATTCTTTGGTGTGAGGGTGGGGAGAGCCTGGCCCAGGTTGCCCAGGGAAGCTGTGGCTGCCCCATCCCTGGCAGTGTTGAAGGGCAGGTTGGATGGGGCTTGGAGCAACCTGGGCTGGTGGGAGGTGTCCCTGCCCATGCAGGGGGGTTGGACCCTGGTGATCTTTAAGGTCCCTTCCAACCTAAACCATTCATGATTTCATGATTCTATGATATGACTCTGATCTGAAGGAGCTGCCAAAGAGGCTCAGCAGACATACCAGCAAACCTCCAGCAACTCCCAGTGTGTTTCAGAAGGAACATTAAAAACCAATACCCCGCATTTTTCAGTCTTTTTTTCAGCTTTCGTAAAGTAAATGGGAACAGAATGACAACAAAAGAAATGCACAAGTAATTTTACCCAGAATATGGTTCCTGCAAGTGTACTTTTGCTTGAAGATGAATGACCTATCAGCAGCCATATGGCCCACAAAAACCAGTCCCAGTGCTCCCAGTGCAGCACTGCAGGGGGACAGGGTGGTTTAGTTTGAAAGGAGGAAGTCTGACATTTGCTAAACTCAACTTTTATGTGATGGAGTTGTTTGCCTGCATAGAAATACTGAAGATAAACAGACTCAACAGTATCATGGTTAACACGAGCCAGTAACGCTCAACAAAACAAGAGGAAGAAGGACTAAGTGGGGAACTTCCAAGAGTTTTAAGAGTGGGGACACAGTGGGTGACCCCAGCCCATGGGGCAGGAAGTACCACACGTATCTCAGGGACGTGGAGGATCTCTCAGCTTTTCCTGGCTACCTGCCCAAGAGCCTCACATGGTGCTGGCTCTGAGCTCCAGGGTGTGGGAACAGCCTTGCAGGGCCTGGGCATCAAGAAGGCAGGGACAAGCTCTTGTCACTTGTGCCTTGGGACAGGACAGGGGGCAATGGATTCAAACTGGAGCCCAGGAAGTTCCACCTGGCTGCTGGTGCCAGGGCATCCTGTCACCTGAGGGCAGAAAAGGCAGGTGAAGAAGGAAGGAGAGATTACAAAGGACTATAAAACCGAGGCAGGGGGGAAGGCTGTTTGATACTCTCTAAAAGGCAAGTGTTTTTTTGAATGGTGACCAGGACGTGCTCATAAAATCATAGGGGTTAGAAGGGACCTCTGAAGATAATGGAGTCCCACCCCCCTGCAGGAACAACTGGAGCAGATCACTCAAAGGCATCCAGGCAGGTCTTGAATGTCTCCAGAGATGAAGACTCCACAACCCCCTGGGCAGCCTGTCCCAGGGCTCTGTTACCCTCCCAGGAAAGAAGTTTTTCCTCATGTTGAGGTGGAACTTCCTGTGTTGTCACTTGGTGCTGTTTCCCCATGTCCTATCACAGGGCACCACTGAAAAGAGACTGGCCCCTTCTTGACATCCACCCTTCAGATATTTATAGATATTAGTAAGGTCCCCTCTTAGTTTTTTCTTCTCAAGACATCTCAAGATGGTTCCCTTGGCTTTGTAACAACTCCATTCACAGAATCCCAGAATCATTCTGGTTGGAAAAGACCTTTAAGGTCATTGAGTCCAACCATAACCTACCTCCACCAACCATTTACCTCATACTACCAAGTCCAAAAAAGTCCCTTAACCAGTTCCAGGCACTTCATAAGTAGCATCTAGCTTTTATTTTCCTTTTTCTCCCAGAAAATGCAGGACAAAGCACTTAGACAGTGGCAAGCTGGAGAGATATTTCCCTGCTCTCCAGGAAAGGGGGTACAATAGCTCCAAGAACATGCTACCCTATTTGTCTTGAAGGTCAAACTCCATTTCCTTGGACATGGTCCTGCAAGCTACCTGGCTCAGCTTTTCAGACTTGGCACTATCTGGGCCTCAGCCCTTAAATGAGTCATCTCAGCCTTTAACTCACTAAATCCTCTCCCTTTATAACCCACCCATATTTAAGAAATCTGAAGGCCACCCTTTCCCAGGGCTTGGCAGCCCATTTGTACTCTCAGTGCCCAAAACCACAAACCAACCCACCAGGGCTCAGTAAAGAAGTGACCTGCACTTCCCATCCTCACTTCTGAGCCCATCTTGTTCAGCATGAACATTGGACCTTTGTGTTTAGAGGCAAACAACTTCCCAAACCTCTCATGATGACATTTAATGGGGTTTGGTCTCTCTTACAATTGCACAAAGGTTGATCCCAGATTCCTTCCAGTTTAGGCAGCAACATTTGCAGAGTCACTAACTACAATATCACACCCCAGCTGCATGCAGCTATGCTGTAAATGCCAATTGCAGCAGCTACAAATCAGTTTCTCCTCCTTGGCAGCAGGCAATCAGCTTGGTTTGACATCATGTAGTTGTGGGATGGAAACCAAAAGGCAGACCAACAGCAGAAGGCAGTGGGGACAAGGTCACTGCCTTGGCTCAGAAGCACCTCTCTGTGCTGCAGCAAACAGTAGGAAAATTCAGTAGAGCACAACTGCATTATGCTGCTCCTTTTTCAAACCCACCTTTTTCCTTAGGTGAGGACAGAAGCAGAGCAACTAACAGCCATGCAGACTGCTTCTGCAGCCTGGCAGGTCAAGAAGCAGTGATGCTCAGAAAGGTTAAAGAGACATGATCTGGTTTGATAGAGCACAACTGCTCTCCAGTTCCACTGCACTTTCAAGGCCTTGGCTGGG